ATTGTTCTAATTTTAACTCCTAAATATTGACACTTGTTAATGTAAACACAAAATATTTTCATTAGATTATCCTTGACACCGCATTGCTCCCCTCGTTTGGCAAATTGCCCACATAATGGGCGTGCTATTCTCATGCAACCAAGGTTACTGCCAATTCAGCGTCACARTTCGAGCACGTACATACCATCATCCACAGTAAAAATGGTTCTCTMCATGGACAGATGGGTGGGCAAAGTGGCAATAGTCACTGGTGCAAGTTCTGGAATCGGTGCTGCGATTGCTGATGCCTTGGTCGAAAATGGCCTAATTGTAAGTAAAAATTCCCATTTTCCCACCAAATTACCAAAACCTTAAGGTTGCTGGACTCGCACGTCGCTCTGAAGTGATCGAAGAACGTGCCAAAAAACTCAATGGCAAAAAAGGAAAACTCCACGCTGTCAAAACCGACATRAGTAAAGAAGACGAAATTGTCAAAGCATTCAAATGGGTTGAAGACAATCTTGGGCATGTCCACATCTTGATCAACAATGCCGGAGTTTCTAAAGAAAATTTCTTAGCAAATGGAGATGCTGAGTCGTGGAGAAACACCTTCGATGTTAATGTCATGGSATTGTGCATTGCCACAAGAGAAGCTGTGAAATCAATGACAGCAAATGACATAAACGGGCATATTATTCACATTAATAGCRTTGCAGGGCATAAAGTTSYGAATTTWCCCGGGATTAATGTCTACACAGCGAGCAAACATGCAGTTACCGCTTTGGCTGAGACTCTAAGACATGAGTTTTTAGCTCTAGGGTCGAAAATTAAAATTACTGTATTTGGTTCTTTCTTGTAATTAAACAAATTAATGAGAGTTTGTAGAGCATCAGTCCCGGATTAGTCACAAGCGAAATGACAACTCTCAACACGGGATATTCTCCCGAACGACAGGAAATGATGAAAAGTCTACCAATCCTGAAACCTGAAGACATTGCAGATGCCGTTTGCTACGCACTATCCACGCCTGAAACGGTTCAGGTATATTATTTTATCCCTGAAAACTCTTTCCAATTAATATTTTCAGATCAACGAACTGACGATTACTCCAGTCGGCGAGAAATTCTAAAAATTGGTAAAACATTCACAAGTGAATAAAGCAAAAATTGGAAAAACAGTATTTATTAACTAATTTATCTTTTGTATATCTAACAGAACATCCCCTTTGGGTGCCACAATCAGCGTATTTGTTGTAATTTCCAACGGAACTTTTGTCTTTTCATTTAGGGTAAATTTGTATTTTTCTAACAAAGCAGCTAGAACGAATTTAATTTGTATTAAACCAAATCGTTTTCCTGAAAAAAATTTGTAAAGTCAATTGTTGCAATTTCACCAAGTTTGGTACCAATACAAAATCTGGGACCTTCCCCAAATGGAATATGAGCATAAGGGTGTCTTATTTTTTTATTCTCTTTAGTGAATCTCTCAGGGTCGAATTTTTGCGGGTTTGGGTAAATTTCTTCGTCGTGGTGGATACCCAAAATTGAGACTAGGGCAAAAGTCCCTTTTTCGATAGTAACACCTTCGCCAGGTACTGTGTAGTTTTTGGTACATTGTCTTATTATATAGAGAAATAGTGGGTATTTTCTCAWCGTTTCTGGAAAAAAWTGAGTCAAGTTTTTCTTAAGCTTCRGGAAGCTTACCATCAACAATCTGGTCTAAATATTTCATCTCAGCAAGAGCTTCAAGAGTGAGTTTTKTGTGCTTCAGTAAGACTGAACAAATTTCCTTTCTGGCCCTATCTTGTATGTCAAAATTTTGGGCAAGTTCATACAGTGCAAAAGTAAGGGTATTCGCCGTGGTTTCATAAGCAGCTACAAAAATAATGAAGCATTGGGCCACAATTTCGTTGATTGTCAAAGTTTTGGCTTTCTTTTGCTCGATAAAAAACTGCATCATGTCTTGTCTAACATCATTTTTTTCTTCCCTGTGTTTAATAATCTCCGTCATAATTTTAAAGAAAAAGTCTTGGGTTTCTTTCGGTGTAGTCCTCAGTTTCAATTTCTTCGCCAAGTCGAAAAACATTGAAGCCAGGAGTTCTATAAAAAATTTTCCTTGCGACCACACCAAAAATTTACTTGTGTATGACTCAAACAAGAGATGATCGTCTGTGAAGATATTGCACTCTAAGCCCAAAGTACATGAAGCAGTGACACTTATGGTGAAGCAAGATAAGAGCTTGTGTATTTCTACGGTTTTTTGAATTTCCATCATTTGAATTTTCTTAAGCAAATTTTCAATAGAAGTATTGAGAGTTTGAAACATCATTTTTAAACTGCTTGGGGCGAATAGAGGATTAAGTTTTTTCCTCATTGTGGTACCACCTAGATTGATAAGATGGGCACTCAAAGGATCAGTTTTTTCGCTATAATACGTTCCACGGGTGTTAAAATGTTCAAAATCTTTGGTTAAAATATTTTTGATGTAATCCAAGTCGACTGGAAGGTAAATAGGGGTAGCGAAAACGAAAATACCGGCATGTTTCCATCCCTTGTTCTTAGCTTCCTTGTAAAGTCGAGACACAAGAAACCCTGCTTTCTCCTTGTTGACTAAAGGGTTATTTAAACAGCCTAGTGGAAATTGGGGTTGAAAATAAGGGATTTGTTTTTTGTGCCAATGTTGGTATTTCAAGAAAAAGAAAATTCGTACTGCTAAAAATAAAAAAACAACACTTAAACCAAGCAAAATCATTTTAGTTTTTGACTTGGCAATTGGTGCTACCTTGACCAGTTTTAAAAGCAATATGATAATTTTTTGATAAAGTTTATGGTTTTAAGCGACTCAATTTAAGTACTTATTTTTTCATTTATTACAAATAAATGAGATTTTGCATTTGAGGGTCACGGTCTTTTTCAAAGTTTTGCAAAAAAATGCTCTTTCTAAACTTGAGATTGTGCTTCTCGATAATAAAAAATTTCTATCATAAGTTAGTTAAAATTTACATTTGATCTTTATAATTTTGAAATTTGTGCATATTTTTCTGAAATTATGTATTTTTTTGTTTAGGTTTGTTTTACTAAATTACAACTTTTTATTCTGAATTATTTAAAAGGCTGATTTGGTATCTATATTGGTTTTACATAGTTGTAAACAATGTCATTTTTTTATTAAAAGTTACGATTAAAATATAAACTGAGTAAATAAATGTCAACGTTTCATATCTTTACATTTTACTAAACAAAAATATTAATGTATTTGATAAAAATAATTACTTAATCTAACTTTAGGTCAAAATGAAACAGTTTGCTCTATTTTAAATCAATTTGGCTCAATATGAATCACCGTAAAAGATTAAATAACAGTTTTCTGCTAAAATAAAGCAATATACAGTCCACTTTTGCTCGATTATATTACAGGAATGATTTTAAATCAATGTATTTTATAAAAATAATTGCTTTAATCTCAATTTTAAGCAAAAATACAGCAATTTGTGCTATTTCCAATCGATTTGGTTTAATTTTAAGCCGAAACTCAACCTGAATAAAAAATAACATATATTTGTCTACACTCATATTTAATTTATTTTTTTATTTTTGTCTAACTAAAATGTTGTTGTGTTTATATTTTATGTATGATAATAATAGATAAAAAATCAAAAACTTTGTGTTAAATGTTACCTTTTTTCGTGTATTGATTTACATTTTGTCATTAAAAAATATTTTTTATTTTGTACTTAATGTTAAAGAGTGCTTTTATCAACTAATTTTAGTAGATAAAGTATTTTTATCGTCTAGTGAAATAAAGTAATTTTTATGTACTGCTTATATTTCATCCAATAATTTCAGTAGATAAAGTAGTCTTTTATCGTCTAGTGAAATAAATTAATTTTTATGTACTGTTTATATTCAAGAAATTTTGGTAGATGAGTACAAAATAAAACGACGTGAAAAAAATCCACTCGCGAATTTGTCACTTGTAAACTTATCCTTTTCACTCGTAGATAAACAATTTCTTTATCGTCTTGTATAATAAATAACTATAAAAATGTGAAGTAGATTAGAAAAAAAAATCGTTTTTTTTATTATATTTATTTTATTTTGAAAACTTTAAATTTTATGTACATCTAAAAGTATTTCATCTTCGGGTACAGAAATGAACGAGTTTATTTTCAACTTAATTGGTTCTCTGGTTTTTGGGTTCACTGTAAAATTATAATTTTTCAACAAGAGAACCAATCCCACTTTAACTTGTACCAAAGCAAATCTTTTTCCTGTAATAATTTGTAAATTTTTTTGAAATTTATGTTAATTTTCGTACCAATGCAATGTCTTGGACCTTCTCCAAAAGCTAGATGCGTGCACGCAGKTCTCAACTTCTTATTTTCTTCATTAAACCTCTCAGGGTCAAAATTTTCAGGATTTGGGTAATAGTCCTCGTCGTAATTAAGTGCAATTGTTGGTACTATCACAGTGGTACCTTTTTCGATAACAACACCATCTTGTGGTACTTTATAATCTTTAATACACCGTCTTGTCAAATACATCAGAACTGGATATTTCCTCAAGGTCTCTTTAATTTTTTTTTTGTGAAAATAAAGTGAAAATAAAGCTTACCATCCAAAACTTGGTCCAAATATTTCAATTTGTAGACCCCCTCATACGTTATTTCACCCCCTTGATTACCAAAAATTGTCAAAAATTCTTCTCTAACCCTTTGTTGGATTTCTTGGTTTTTGGCCAATTCGTACAAGGCAAAACTCATAGTGGCATGAGACGTTTCAAATCCGGCTATAAAAAATAAAACACACTGAGAAGTTATTTCTTCAAGTGTAAACGCGTTTTTCYCATTTTTGAGTTCAATCAAAAATTGCATAAAATCATCTCTGRTRTAACAATTTTCYTCCCGAAATTTGATAATTTTTGCGACAAGTTGCATAAAAAACTCTTGTGTGTTTTTTGGCATTATCACAAAGCCTAAATATTTGGCCAGTTTTGGAAAAATTGAAGCTACCATCAAACCAATCATTTTATTTTTCGAGTAATTGACTGTTTTCTCAGCAAATTGTTTCAGTGCCAAATTTTGGTTTCCATTGCGATCCAAACCAAAGGCACAAGTTGTGATTACGTCGATGGTAAAGTCGGCAAAAATGCCATTGACATTAATGGTTTTGGTTTTTTCGATTTTATCTATCAGGGAGTTTTCACAACTCAACAGGATTTTAAACATTGCTTTGATTTTTTTTGAGGTGAAAGATGGGTTTAGTAACGATCTCAAAGACTTCCATTTAGAGGCGTCACCATTGAAGAGATTGGTTGAAATCGGGTCATCTTTTTTGTTAAAATACAACCCACGATCGACGAAATATTGAAAATCTTTGGTTAAAATTTGCTTGATGTAGACAGGGTCCACAACCATGTACACTGGGACTGCAAAAAAGTAAAAACCGCCGTGTTTCCAACCTTTCCTTTTCATTTCTTGGTAGAATTGTTTGATGAAAATTCCGGGTTTTTCTTTGAAGGTGAATGGATTGGGGATGTTTCCGAAGGGTATTTGTGGGGGTAGAAAGGGTAATTGGCGTTGTTTCCAATATTGAAACTTCCATTTGTAAAAAAGTGTCACTACTACTAGAAATAAAATAACGAAAATTGTCACACTGAGAAGTGTCATGGTTTTTACGTTAAAACAGTTTGGTCTTGAGTTGAGTCAGGTAGTTATTTATTATGTTTGGTTATGCATCAATTAATACAAAAATAATGGTAGTGTCGGTGATAATGAGCGATAATAAATAGTAGGTTGTTAAAATTAATAGTTTAATATTAGGTGTTTTCAAGTTTACTGTAATATAAAAAAAAAACTCAACAAAAAGTTTAATTTGTTTTTTTTTCAGATTTTACAAAAAATATGAATTTTAATTTTATTCAGCAATATTTTTAAGTTTTTCAGAGCCCAGTCAGAGGTTGTCAGAGAGTAAAAACTCTTTCCAAATGAAAATTTCAGATAAACGAACCTAGAATCATTGTAACCTAAAAACCTAGAAAACATTAAAAAAATTTTTTTTAAAGAATCGTTAAAACTGCGGTCATTGGTTGCTGAGAATAAAAAGATCCTTTTTCATTAAAAAAAAGCCAAAACCTGGAAACATACTTTTTCTCTTTTCTTTAAATAATAATTGAGGGTAAAAAGATGTTGTAGGAATCTTTTTCATTAAAAGTCAGATATCTCAGACAAATTGACGGTAAGATAATATAAAAAATTGTAGCTAAATGAACAAAAAAAAACAAAAAAAATTTTTATCGCGTTATTTTTAGGAATTGCGTATCTCAGATTTCCTTAATTTTTTAGAGTAGTGTAATAAAAAATTAACAGTTATAAAATTTTAATATTTTTGTTTTAGAAACTATTTATACAGGGTGTCTTAACCAAATTTTGCGTCAACTTTGGAAAAAATGCAATGTCACTTTTAACAAAAAAATTTAAATAGCAAGAGTGACACATTTTTTTAAGATATTTTGGGTAGTATGTATATTCCTTAAATTGATTTTTTTTATTATATATAAACATTTTTGTTTTCTCTCTCTGTAATCTTAAAAATCAAAACTCGCTACGCTATCACGCTTCCGGTATCTTTCTCTTCTCTAGGCATATAGTTGTAGAATTTGTCAAACTCGAAAAAGAATATTTATTAAAGCAATATTTCACTTTTTGACAAACAATAAAAAATAAAACTGGATTTAGTGTAAATTTCAATTATGCATGCCAAAAAGACAGACTTATAAAATATGAAGAAACTAGAGTTTTAAATAAGTTTAAAACTTTTTGGTTAATGTAGTTTTGAGAAAATTTCTAAAAAAATTTTTTTACAAAAAAATTAGTATTGTTTCTTAAATTTTTTACATATTTTTTATATACGCTCCTAAAAATAGCTATTTTATGGAGTCATTTGAGTCCCCAAAATGACTCATCTACCGAAAACAGCAACGATTAGTCAGTAAAAATTGTTTTTTTAAGTAAGAAATAACTATTTTTGGTTATTTTCAAAAATTAGTCAGTATTGTTTCTTAAATGTTTTATACGAAATAACAAAAATAAAATTTTGATTTTTTTGAGAATTTAACAAATAAATTATGCAAGATTAGGTATAATAAAAGTTGAAAAAAAATTTTTTATTTTGATAAAGATTACAATAAGAAACAATACACTTGCTTTAATTTTTTTTAAAAATTTGAAAAGTCGGTCCGAGAAAACAGTTTAATGGATTAATTCAAAAATTTACAGGGCTGTTGAGGGCATGTTAAACTGTAAAAAACCTGGAAACATACTTTTTTCTCTTTTCTTTAAATCAAAAATTGAGGGTAAATTTTTTTTCAAAAAAATGGTAATAGAATGTTGTAGGAATCTTTTTTCATTAAAAGTTAAATACCTCAGCGACAAATTGACGTAAAGAGAACATAAAAAAACCAAATTGAAGCTAAATGAACGAACTAGACGGCCCATAATAAAAATTTCCGTATACCAAAAAAAAAAAGAATAAAAAATTACGATTTTTTTTGCGTTTTTTCTTAGAATTACGTAATAAACGTAGCTAAGAAATTTTTTAACCAGTAGATCTCAAAACTAGAAACTTGAAGCTGCAAAATGAATTTTTTAGAAACTAAATACGACCACTTTTATTGAGGTACTATATTTCAAAAGTCATTAAAAAATTGAATTGAAGAAATTTTTTTGTTCTCTAAATTTTTTAAAATAGTAAAAGGTTTATGTAAAATGTTTTGTCGTTTT